AAACTGAAGTGGAAAGGCTTAACAAAAGTAACAAGGATTCAGAACGATATAGAGACAGAGAAAGAGAAAGAGAAAGAGAAAGGGATAATAGAGACAGGAGAGAGAGGGAAAGGAGGGATTTTGAGAGAGATAGTAGAAGTAGAAGAAACTATGATTACAATGATAGGAACAATGATTACAAACATCATAGACCTGAAGAAACAGACTACAGAGATAGAACTAGGAAATATGATGGACAAAAGGGTGAAAGTCACAAAGGTGCATCTTCAGATGTAGATATAGAGAAGACTAAAAGGTTTGTTTTATTGTTTCATACATCTGTTTTGTCAGTTAATGCTGTTTTTTTTTCTAAATTATGTTTTGAATAGGGAGGAGGCTGATGAAGAGATGTATCAAGAAAGAAGTTCATTGCAAATTGAGGAAGATGAAGAAGAAGATCTTAATAGAATAAAGGAGGAAAGTAGAAGGCGTAGACAAGCCATTCTTGAAAAGTACAAGACTAAATCATTGAAACAGCAGCAGCAACAACCTGTGCCTCAATTAGAGGATACATGTGAGGTTTTTTCTTTCTTTCTTCTTCTTCTTCCCATTTGAGCATATAAGAAACTTATGACTTATTTGTGTCGAATAATCTAATAGTTTATGACTTTATGTATCTTCAGCTAAAGCAAATTCAGGCACTCTTGAAGGTCAAGGGGAATTGTCAGATAGTAACACAGGAGACACTCCATTTTCAGTTGGAAGATCTCCTCCACAAAATGGTGTTGAGAGGACATCTGGCACAGGTGGACTTGGAGAGGGTACTCCAAAGGTGAGTTTTTTTTTCATTTCTTTTTTTCTTTTTTACTTGATGTGTAGTAATGATTTTGGTTTTAATGGGAATCAAATCACAGAGTGAAAGATCAAATGGTGATGATATATTTGGGGAATCTCCACCTCATGCACGTGAAAGGGTAAATCTTGACCTTCTATTTGTATGAGTTTCTTTACTAATTTTCTGTGAAATGTTTGAGATCAATGACTTTGGTTTCTTTTAAATGAACAGAAAGAGGAAAGATCAAATGACATGTTCTCTGATGATATATTTGGAGAATCACCAACTGGAGTCCGAAAACCTGTAAGACACACACACACACACTCATTATTTCTAAAATCTAATAACAGATTTGCTTATAAGGTTTTGTTATATATGTTCAGGGAAAAGGAGATGGTTTAGCCATTCAAAGAAGTGGTCTTCAGGATAACTGGGATGATGCAGAAGGTTACTACAGTAAGTATATCACAAGATCTGACACTTTTACCCTTTATTACACAAGTTTCCTGATTTACCCTTTTGACACATTTAGGCTACCGTTTTGGAGAAGTACTTGATAGCAGATATGAAGTTCTTGCAGCACATGGGAAAGGTGTGTTTTCAACAGTGGTTCGTGCAAAAGATCTGAAAGCTGGATCCACTGATCCAGAAGAAGTGGCAATAAAAATCATACGCAACAATGACAAAATGTAAGCAGTTTGTTTGACTTTGACTTGGTCAATGAGACAACAATTGAGTATGCTGAGTTTGTTGTTATGTTAGGTATAAAGCTGGATTGGAAGAGCTGGTGATACTGAAGAAGTTAGTAGGTGCTGACATGGAGGACAGGAGGCACTGTGTGCGGTTTATTTCTAGTTTCAAGTATCGGAATCATCTTTGTTTAGTTTTTGAGTCTCTTCATATGAATCTTCGTGAAGTATTAAAGAAGTTTGGTAGAAATATTGGTCTTAAACTAACTGCTGTAAGGGCCTATGCAAAACAGCTCTTCATTGCTCTAAAACACCTTAGAAACTGTGGTGTCCTTCACACTGACATCAAGCCTGATAACATGCTGGTCAGTTCCATCACCTTTTTTATCTTTTGACTAAATTACAACAATGGTCCCTGTACTTTCTGACTTTACCCTGTTTAGTCCAAAGTTGAAACTTTTCTCAGTTTAGGTCATCTTTGAGAGGTTTCGTATTGATTTTGGTCTCTGGAACCTTGAAATAAGGACCAAAACTGAAAAAAGTTCAAATTTTTTCTGATTAAATTACAAAAATGGTCTCTATGCTTTCTGATTCTTACTGTAGCTAGTCCAAAATCAAATCTTTACAGTTTTCATCCTTATTGCAAGGTTTTATGTTGATTTTGGTCCCTGGAACCTTGACATAAGGACCAAAGTTGATATGTAATCTTAAATTAAGGACCAAAATCAAAATGAAACTTTGAAATAAGTACCAAAACTGAAAAAGTTACAAACTTGGTCTCTGTGCTTTCTGACTCTTGACTTTATATAGTCCAAAATTGGATCTTTTTACAGTTTTTATTCTTATTTCAAGGTTTCATATTGATTTTGGTCCCTGGCACCTTGAAATAAGGACCAAAATCGACATGAAACCAAAAAACAAGGACCAAAATCGATATGAAACATTAAATTAAGGACCTAAATCAATATGGAACGTTGAGATATGTACCAAAACTGAAAAAATTTAAATTTTTTCTCAGTAAATTACAAAAATGGTCTATGTGTTTTCTGACTCTTACTGTATATATTCCAAAGTTGAAACTTTTTACATTTTTTATCCTTATTTTAATGTTTTATATTGATTTTGGTCCCTAGAACCTTGAATTAAGGACCAAAATCGAAATGAAACCTTAAATTAAGAACCAAAATCCAAATGAAACTTTGAAAGAAGTTACCCAAATCAGTATAAAATCTTAAATTAAGGACCAAAATCAAAACTAAACCTTGAAATAAGTACCAAAACTGAAAAAAGTCAACTTTTTTTTTTGAGTAAATTACAAAAATAATCTGTCCTTTCCGACTGTAACTTTATATAGTCCAAAAATGAATCTTTTTACAGTTTTCATCCATATTTCAACGTTTCATATTGATTTTGGTCCCTGTAACCTTGAAATGAGGACTGGAATCAATATGAAACTTTAAATTATGAACCAAAAACAGAGTCCCAGGGACCAAAGATTAAAAAACTTCAATATTGGGCTAAACAAGTTAAGTGTTGAAAAGTACAGGGACCAGTTCTGTAATTTACAGTTTTGAAGGCACTAACTTGAAATATTTTGTTTAGGTAAATGATGCGAAGAATGTTCTGAAGCTTTGTGACTTTGGGAACGCCATGTTTGCTGGGAAGAACGAGATCACACCTTACCTTGTTAGCCGCTTTTATCGTGCCCCTGAAATAAGTAAGCAAGCAAGCATTGACTTTTTTGTATATAATTATTACTTGTGGAACAAGTCATTGACCAGTCAAACATGTTGTCATGCAGTTTTAGGTTTGACTTATGATCACCCTGTTGACATGTGGTCTGTTGGCTGCTGTCTGTTTGAGCTTTACACTGGAAAAGTTCTCTTCCCTGGCGCCACAAACAATGACATGCTTCGCCTTCACATGGAACTCAAAGGCTCTTTCCCTAAAAAGATGCTTCGAAAGGTCGGCTTTTTTAATTTTTATTTTTTTTTATAACGTCTATTTAAAAAAATTTTACCTTTTTGCCCTTGTGGTCTTCTTGTAGGGAGCATTTACCGAACAGCATTTTGATTCGGATCTTAACTTTGTTGCTATAGAGGAGGACCCTGTTACCAAGAAGGTAAGAAATTTTTATCTGTTACATTTAAGATTTAACCATATTTTATTATTTTTTTCTTATATTTAATGGTTTTGTTTGGTTTTTAGACTGTGAAGAGATTGGTTAATATGAAGGCGAAAGATATTAGTTCAATTGTTATGAGCTCACCTGGAGAGGATCCGAAAATGGTAGCAAATTTTAAGGATCTTTTGGAGAAGATTTTCATTTTGGATCCTGATAAGAGGCTAACTGTACACCAGGCATTGAGTCATCCATTCATCACTGGAAAATAAAAGAGTTTTTATCAATTTAATGATTTTCATTTTAGATTGCACATTTATGTGTGTCTTTCTTTACCTATGTGCTGACATGGCGGAGGTACGATGACATGGACGACCCGACCTGACCGGTTGGCGGTGGGATGTGTACTGTGTTCTATTGTAAGATAACTCGCCACATGGCGTTTTCTTCTTATTCTTCTTCTAGTTGTTCTTGATCTGATTCAAGTTTTTCTTTACTCTACTTTGTATATTGAACATAAGCTCTGAAACTGTATTTGGAACTTTCTTTTATCTTTCTTTGCTCTATAGATTAAGATGCTTGCATAAAATAATACTGTTTTCGTTGTGTTTTTCCTTCAAATTCTTATGTTTGTAAATTGTAATGATTGTTATTTGTGTTTCTTTGTTGATGATGTGTTGTTACTTTATACTATATTGTGTTCCAGTTTCTTATGTAAAGATTTTTAATTTCTGTAAAGTCTTGGGAAGTCTGATATGTTTTTTGATTCAGGAATCCAGCAGTGCTGTATGTATGAGGCAGTGCTTTACATGTTTAAATGGCACTCTGGAGAAGGTATTTTGGTTTGTCTGTTTGGATATTTTTCTGTGACAACTTATCATTACTTGCTTATATTTCAGAAAATCTGTTAAATCTTTTCTTTTTCTTCATGCTTTTTTATACTTATGAAATTAATTAATTAGCATGTGTGGTGGAGTTTGTCTAGTTGCTATGTCATTCTTTAGAGGATGACATCTGTTTCTTTCTCATTGTGAAGTATAGGTTATAGTGTGTGTTCTGACTGAGTTAAGAGACATAGTTTTTTTTTTTGTTGATTTTATTTGTTACATAATTAATTAAAGTTAAAAATTATATTCTAATGATATATTCTTTCTGTTCCACCTGATTCATGGTTTGGTGCGTGTGTGCTGGAGGCTGGAGCTTTAAAGTAAAGACTATATACAGTGAGTAATCCTCTTAACTTTTACTCTTCTTTTTTAATAAAAAAAATAAAAATACTGGAAGTGAATCTAATGATATGTTCTTCCTTTTTTGTGTTTTAGGATACAGTCTCTGTGCATCCATCTTCAGCTTCTGTAAGTATCAAAACTGATTTTTTTGCATAGATAGTGAAATAGAGAGATAAGATGATAAGATGAATGTTTATTCACTGTGAATGCACATCACATCTGCTAGTTAGAATAGAAGTTACAATATTTGCCTCCCATGCATTCATATCATATTTTATTGTGTTCTTGATTGAAGGTGCTAAAGTTAGGTTTTGGAGGGACATGTTAAATGAAATGCACAAAATTACTTTAAACTAAAAAAACAATATTCATTAGAAATTAGAAAATGATAACAAAACTGGAAAAAGAGTGGAAAGAGGCTACTACAATTACAATACATACTTTGGATCATATATATGTATGCTAATCAAAATAAGTTAAAAAAACATTAAAGTGTTGTGCATTGCTTGTTTCAAGGACTCAAAATGATGAAAACATATTTCAATTCATTAAATAATGACAAAACAAAACCTCATAAATGGTCCCTGTGGTTTCCCAAAATCTGTGATGTAGTCCCTAAGTTTAAAAAACTAAGTCCTTGTGGTCACGAAACTTTTAACTAGTCCCTCACCTACATAAAAATACGTTTTTTACCCTTTTTAATATATTTTTGATTTTCTTTATTTAAATCTATTTTAAAACAAAAATGATTTTTTTTTACTTGGGCCCGCATCCCTCCCTCTCTTTCTCTCTCTCTCACACACACACACACAAAATCAACTACTGTGATAAGAGGTCTAATGGTTTGGGTTGGAATGCAAGCCACAAGGTCAAATATGTATTGAACATTTTTGTGGTCTATTTAAACACTGAATTCTCAAAGTAATTAGTGCACAAATTATTCGCTTAGAGATTGTATTTTAAAATCTTAATTTTTTTATGAGAATGCTGCAAAAAACGATGCATGTTTTTTTTAATGGAGTCCAAAAAGTTTTTTCTTCCTAAATGCTTTATTTTTCGTAGCGTTTTGTTGTTTTGGTCCCTATCAAAATGATCATTTTGCTCTCCAAGGTAGCATTGGTTAAGAATTTCTCCAATCCTTTTTACCATTTATTAAATATAAATGAGACATTAATTTTCTTTACTGAAGCATATTTATATAATCACAACAAGAGACATCACTAATCTTTACCATCTGTTCATCTCCTCCAATGTATTCTTCGCCTACCCTAAAACCTTGATTATTTAAAACAAAATTGATTGTTTGGAACATTGTGTCTTTAGTTTTGTTGAAAAACACATCTTTTTATGACTATGTGTGGTGTCGTACCCATGCTATTGTCTAACATCACGGCTTTGAATATTACAAGAAATGTTTCTGATTTGTGCTTACCCAAAAAATATGTCATCGGGAGGAAACAAAGTCGCATTAATCGTTTCATGTTTAAACATCGGGCATAGTTCCTTCTGCAAAACAAGAAAAAGTTGAAAGCTTTAAATTTAAATCAGGACACATAAATGTTCGAAAGAATTCTGATTTAAGTTAATCCATTTCATTTGGGAAGCATACATGATGTGATTTGAAGTTTTGAACCAACTACGAAACAGTGTTGGGAGTGACTTTTGTCGTGGAAAGGGCAAGTGTCTCGAGAAGGTGAAAAGAATATTGAAGGTTTTTTTTTTTTTTTTTTTTTTTTTTTTTTTGTCATCATGCATTTTGTTCCATCGTTTTCCATCCATTTGAGTGAGGCAAAAATGAAGTGAAATGGTCCCATTGACTTGGTTAAATATTTATTTTTGTTCTAGTCTTGTTCTTGCCAAACTCTATACAAAACGAATCTGTTCAATCTTGTCCTGTGTAACAAACACTAACTTATTTTACAATTTATTACATTTAGTTTAGAAAAAAATATATTAGATGGGTATATTTTGTAACTCTATTTATTTTTACTTTGCCAACTTAGCGTGATGCCATTTTCCCACATTCTTTCCTCACTCCCATCTAACCTTGGAATTGTTTATGGGAAAATGACATTGTAACCAGTAGTCCTATGAAGTTTTAGGAATTGGTCTAATCAATCATTAATTGTTATTATTATTATTATTAATTTTGGTTTTATGGAGAGACATAAGGTCGGAAGCTAAATATGTGTCTTTTTAGTCGCCATAACCTATTTTAAATGGCCACATCAGCAAATCTAACCACAACAACAGTTGCGTGGATTATCAAAGTGAAGGTTTTGTTTGACTTGAAAATCACTTATATGTTCATGGTTTGTTCTGGGACAACTACTTTGCTTGTATTGATACATGGTAGACCTTGTATGTTGTTGACTTTTGACTTGTGTATATAATTGTTGAAGAGAGAGAGTAGTGCAGCGACTTTGTGTCACGCAATCGCATGCAATAAAAAGAAAACTAGATAAGTGCCCATTTTAGTTTTATGAATTTATGGTTAAATTTTTATATGCACTGTTTCTATACATAAAAGATTTAGCATGTCTGCAATTTTTGAAAAATACTTTGGGCATGTTCGACATACATCTTTTGGAGCTTCTAGCTTTTGGTCTTTTAAAAAAAACTTGAAAAAACATAAAAAGAAGCGGTAGGAGTTTCTAGCGGTCTAACTTTTGGTTTAAACAAAAGAATTTTAAACTTAAAAGCTATTTCAAGTTTATATTTTTGCAGATTGGCTTAATTATCCATTTTTTAAAACTACTTTTCTATTTTATATTTTTAAAAAATATTTTTTTATATAATATTATATGTTTTAAAGTTTTAAACTATTTTTGCCGAATACTCATATATAATTAAAAGCTAGAGTTTCTAGCTACTACCTACCAATTATTATCTACTAGCTTCTAACTAATTTTTCCCAGTTAATTTTATCAAACTAGCGTTAAAGATGCTCTATATATGATATTCGTTATAATAGAAAATGAGAACCATTATCAAGTTTTGAATTAAAACCTGTACATGATGAATCAAATAAATATTTTCTTAAAAGTGCCAAGTATACATCACATACACTATACAGTCGGATATTTTATCCTTTGCGCAAATCAAATTACTATTATAGTCTAATGGGTTAAAACGAGTTATATTAGATTTGCTAGTACAAACAAAAAAAAATTGTCTTTGGTGTCTTTCTTTATAGCAAGTAGATCGTGTACTGGCCCACCATTTCAATGGATTATACGTAAATCAAAAGATGTGTTTGGTTCTAATTTGTCTCCACTCATAAATGAACCAAAATTTAATTTTCATGTGGGGTTAATGACCTAGAAAGGTAACGTACTTTGATCTTTGTCCACATTTAGGTAACCATGTTTTTTTCGTTCGCATTTGACCATTGAACTTGTTTGACCTATTCAAAATAGGGTAATATGACTGATAATTACGGTAATATTACCCTATTATGAACAGGTCAAACAAGTTTATTGGTCAAATATGTACGAAAAAAACATGTTTACCTAAATATGGACTAAAACCAAAGTTTCTTACCTGTTTTGGTAATATTGGGCAAGAACCTTCTCAGGGACTTTGCCCTGGGATCAGGCTCCGACAGTCAGTGAACAATTAGATTAGACTTTGTCTAACCTAGTTCAGTCCTGGCTAGTTATGGGCTAGGCTGTGTTGCTAGGTCTTTAAAGCACATACAACCTAGCTCATTAAGCGTACATAACCTAACCCCTAACTAGTTGGGCCTAAACTGGGTTGGCCCAAGACCTGACTATCTCCTCATACACAAAGACCGGACATCCCAATTTCATGTCACATCAATGGGTCTTATGACTACTTGCACTTAACATAAAGAACCCAATATTACCAAAATGGGTAAGGAACTTTGGTTTTTGTCCATATTTAGGTAACCATGTTTTTTTCGTACACATTTGACCAGTAAACTTGTTTGACCTGTTCATAATAGGGTAATGTTACCGTTAATTACCAATCATATTACCTTATTTTGAACAGGTCAAACAAGTTCAATGGTCAAATGTGTA